GTGCAAGGCTACGACGCCTCGAATGGCCCAACGAGACGTTGGTCATGAAGTTCTTGTGGAACTTCCGGTGGGGGATATACCACTTGATGTTGGCGAAGTCAACGTAGCAGTCTGCTAGGAAATAGCGCAAGGGGTCCCAAGCCAGAGTGTAGTAGTAGACATGGTTGATCACGTCAGATCCAGGGTGGTATCGATAGCCATTCGGCCAGATAAAGTGGAAGTTGTCTACAATGGCGCGAAAGACGATCTGAGCGGAGGTAGAGTCTTCCATTTCCACGGAGAAGAGGTAAAGACTGCTCAAAGTGATGTAGCGAAGCCTGGCGACAGCGTCCATGGTCTGGTCGCCAGCAGTCGGAAACTGTCGTCGGGGAGGCTTGTTGTCGCGAAGGAGGACGATGTAGTCACTGATGAGACCTGGCGGCCGGCTTCTCATGTCCACCTTGTCTTCGCGGATCGTCTTGCACTGTTGGGCAATCTTTGCTGAGCGTTCGAAAACGAGATCTCGACATAGTTCTGCTTGTGCGACATCTCCACTGTTTGGCAAGCGGTGGAGGAAAGTAACCATAGCAGGTGGCCTGTTGGAGATGTGTTAGATAAAGACGAAGAATTTGATAGTGGGGCTTTTACTCTCTCAACGCATCCTGCGCCTTGAGGAATTCTAAGAGGAGTCGCTTGTCGGCCATGGCGAAGGAGATACTTGTTTGGTCCTGTTTGATCAAAAGGGTTCTGTGTGCGACCAAGGAGGACGGGCGGAACATCTTGGGAATAACTTCAAAATCGTTTGCCCGGTTTAGTCACGTTGTGGCGCACGGAACCTTTTCTTTCCCTTTCTTCCAGTACGTCATTCGCTACAATTACGCTCTTTCAGTAATCACCGCGCTCTAGGTGCTGTGAGCTACAGCGTCGATGTGCTGTAATTCGTCGTCTCTATTAGCGGCGAGCGGCTTGAGTACATGTTCACTTGGCAGTTTCCAAGTCAAGACGGTACCTAGGATACATGCGCAAAACGAAACGAGGACAAACATCATAGACTGCAACGTATGAGTCTGAATCTAGTACCCGTGTGCGGGAACCTCACCAGATGATATCTTCGCTTTACTGATAGAGTACTGCTATATCTTTCCCTTCCGTATCCAGCGAAATTCTAGATCGCAATCGTAGTCTCCGGAATGATCTTCGTCTCAGAGACCTGAGTATAAGATTACCAGTGAGTGTAATATTCCCATAACAGCACCTTCGGTCACAATTCATCGACCGGGCCCTCAACGTAGTATACCGCTATGAAGTTATCAAAGTCCCTTAGCTGAGCGTGATTCCATATCCAGTAATGCGTTCCATCTGGGGAGACGTCATTGACCCAGCCCGCATTTTGACTTGCGATGTAATTTGCCGCCCTTCGATTCGCTTCGTTTATCGCTGTGTCAAGATCGTTGCAGACACATTCCGTAAACGTACTTTGATGTATCAAGGCATGCTGATCGATGCATCGTATGCCGGTGAAACCCAGAGTAAAGTGATACGGGGGTATGCGGCGACACACAACCCATTTTTGTACCGCCGGTTCGGGCAATGGTTGCACTGCGAGAGGCATGGGGTGGCCATTCGTCAATAAAGTAGGTGCAGACATGGAGCGACCATTTGTCAATGAAGTAGGTGAAGACATGGAGAAGACCACTTAGCGGAAATCAGATGGGAAAGTCGAGCGATGGGTACACATTGTGCAGGAGGATTCAGAGCGCCACTGATAAAGCCCAATAAGTTTGATGAGAGTCACGAGAGACAACAGAGTGACGTAAATCACCTGTTTGTAGACCGACAAACATACCTACTTACGCGCCGCATCACTCTCACGTAAAGACTGACCTACTCAACGTATATCTAGAATCTTCTACGAGCACCTTCATTGCCGCAAAAGAAGGCTTGTGCCCCTAAGGAATCTTCTTACTGTACGCCGAGTGATCAAATCCAAAGTATACATCGTCTTGTGTGATCGTCGCTGCTTATCGCGGTATGAAATACGTCGGCCCATAAGAATGTCTCGAGATCTTATCTCCGCTGCCCAGGCCAAAGACGCAATCACCCATAGCCACACTTCTCATGCTATTCGTGAATGCGAGATACCAAGTCGACCACGAGCAAGACGTCAGATTGAGCAAAGCAGATGTGGCTCACACAGGACGCCAATGCAAGCCTACCCACCTATTGCCGCGCTAATGTTATTATCTATTGCGACTTCGGCGTAAGGAATGGACAGGACTACCCTATGTTCGAGGACTGTGCCTAATTCTTCGATCGGTCCGGGGAGATTATGGGGGCTTTGCAGAGCGTGGAGTCCTCTGGTCTAAAAATGAAGAAAGACCATGATATTGTGCAGCCCTGACCTGATCGCGTCCAGCCTACAACAGCCAAACACGAGTCCGAAATCCTTTGTGCTAGTAGTTCGAACGACAGGGAGCAGTGCATGAAGCTGAAGGACGCAAAGTAATGTGAGCCGAGCAAACGCGAGTACAAATGTTCAATGCGCAGATGGAAGGGTCGCCTGGCGTGTGATGCTGAATGCGGAGTTTGAGCAGCGCAGTCCGAGATAACCTGGCTATCTAGATAGCTTGGGAGCTGATAGAGACTTCACACTGAAGGCCTTGGGATGGTGCGTCGACTGCGAGCGATCCGGTACCTACCTACGTAGTCTGATCAGAAGTAGAAAGGGGTAGCGACAGCGCGACGTCCACGTTGGAGTAGATGAGCTCCATATGTTGAGGTATGCCAGTATGACATGAACCCTTCGGGTAGTGCCTCGGCATCACCTGATTACGCGATGCCTCGCGAACACGGCCGTTTGTACACCGACAATGCCATTATCCCACTTGAGTCAATAGCGCCTACACGGAGCTTCTCTCCGGTTCAAAATCGCGCCATTCTGCTCAAATCTCGTCGTCTGTACAACCATCGTAGCCTGTATTTCCGGTCGCGCAGCCAATGAGAGCCCCAGATTCTCCTTCATGGTACTCTCAGTCACCTGGAGATGGCGCACCTGCCGGAAATAGAGACGTGACTGTTTGTAATCGTAGGTGCCTGACAGGCACCTATCCGTATTGAGGCAAGCGGACCAAAAGGACCATCGCAGCGGGAGATAGACCAGATATCCGGGTCACTCTCGATCGATCCTCAGCCTCGTCTCTCCACTTTGACCAAGCTCTTGATACCTCACTGCTTTGCAGAGCCTCATCATTTTGCTGAACCTCTTCGCTGAACCTCTTTTCTTTGCTAATACCTTTCGCGATGGCCACTAACACTTTCAAAGACTACTACGCGGACCTCGGTCTCCAGCTTGGCGCTTCCACTGATGCCATCAAGAAGGCATTCCGTGAACTCGCTAAGACGCATCACCCCGACAAGTCCGGTGTAGCAGATGCCGATGTCTTCCGCCGCGTTCGCGAAGCTTTCGAGCAGCTCACCAACACCGAGTACCGCACCGAATACGACCGCACCTACATGCGTAACAAGTACCAGACTAGCGCTCCCACTGAGCAGACGAACCATGATACCGGTAACGAGAACTTCGGTGGCAAAGGCCCCGCCAACTACGAGGCTAGTAGAGCATACGAGTCCGGTAGAGCAAGCCCGCCGCCTCAGAAGCCGTTCCGCAAGCCATACGAGGCAAGCTGGCAGTACTACCTGGGCAAGGAGTATACAGCATGGCAGGAGAAAGACGCCGCCTACCGCATGAGGCACCCTGGGGCCTATGAGAGGTATGTAGGATCCATCATCTCCAAACCTGATCTTTGCTAATATTCTTTTCAGTCCATTCGAGGGTGGGCCTCCGACCCCCAAGCCTGGAGCGAAGGCACATGGCATGGTCGTGCAGATGTCTCACCCCTGCGGCCAACAGACGTGCATCTACAAGAGCACGGCATGGCGTCTTCAGGTTGGCGGTGATGACTACTGTGTTTTCTGCATGGCCGCTCACACCGGCGGCATGAGATGCCCTGGTTGTGAGGCCCTGGCCTGCAAGGCGTGTGTGGAGAAGATTCGCGCGCTGGAGCGGAGCCCTTTCGAGGGTATGAGATCCAAGGCCCAGTACTGTTCCTCCGGTGGTTGAACAAGGAGTAGAATTGTGAGAGGCATGAGTGGTGGTGGAAGATGTTCAAGGATGGTTGAATAGGCTCCAATTTACCAAGGAACAGATATTCATGTACCAATCTGTAGTCCCAAGCTTCTCTTCATTGTGAATACCGCCTGCAATTTACACCCACAGATACCCAGAGCACGTTCGCGAGAAAATCTCACACAAAAGAAAACTGAACAGGTTTGCCGCCTACATCAATGTAGAAACGTGCAAAGTGTGTGACCTAACGTCAATGTAGGCTCCAGGGTGTTGGATGTGTTCTTTGAATGAGGTGTGAAGATGGATGTATCCACGATGGGGTGCCGTCATATCTGAAACCAGCCCCCTTGGTTTCACGCGGCAGCTGCTCGCGAAGCCGCGGTCGGTTGTTCCTGCCGCCCCTGACGGCGCATTGACCCCGCACAAACCAAGACCTTGCATCATTGACGCGCCCAGCCGTCCCACATTTTAGAAACGCCGTGGTGTGTCACTCCACTTATTGACGCGCAAGCCCCCCAAGCCTATCGTCAGCCCGTACCGGGAGGGGACCTCCATGTATGACGCCCGGCGCTGTGCTGCTCCGCGGTCCATGATTGGGATCAGCTTGGCCGAGTGCACAAAGCGGCTATTCTATTCGGGACACCATCAAGTTAGCATACCGTGTTCGTATCTCCTTGTCCTAACAACGTGAGCAGTGGCACGGGACAAGGACACTAATTCATTCTATACTAATCCCTTCGATTCACTGGGCCATTTCAGAGCTAGTGCTGTTTACAACATCTTGACGAATCGAGACCTTGACCTTCTACATTCCTTTGTGTTTTGCTGGACATACACTCATCCACAACCGACCGTCGCCCTTCGCTCATTTCAACAATACAAGTCCACATTCAACATGGACCTTTATCGAGCTACATTCGCTGGATCGCTAGTGCTCAATGCACTTGCTTTCTACCAGTCGCACCGCTCACGCAAGGCGGCCGTCGTAGAGACTGCGACTACGGAAAAGAAAGACGAGCATCAACATGTAGAGCCGGATCTAGAGGGCTTGAGCAAGCTGAAGAAGCGCTTCTTCCCTATTTATTTGCTCGTCAATGCCGCGGACTGGCTCCAAGGGCCGTACATATATCCTATTTACAAGGGTATGTTGGACGAACTACTGTTCTACAGACTGACCGCTAACGGATATGTAGATGAGAAAGGACTCTCGGAAGAAACAGTCGCATTCCTATTCCTTACTGGGTTCATCGCCGCCGGCATCTCCGCATCTTTCGTAGGCGCACTCGCAGACCGATATGGGCGCAAGACAGCATGCTTGGGTTACTGCGCCCTTTACTCTCTGTCCTGCGCCACTCTCCTTACCAACAACATCTACGTTCTCTTCTTCGGTCGCATCCTCGGCGGTGTTTGCGGTACCGTCCTTTGGAGCGTCTTCGAAAGCTGGCTAGTTGCTGAGTTCAACCATCTCATGCTGCCCGATGGTGAACCGCACCTCAGCGCGATATTCAGCACGATGACCACGTCCAACACATGTGTAGCCATTGGTGCGGGTATCTTCGCTGAGTGGGCAGTCAGGATGGCAGGCACCGCAAAGGCGCCGTTCATGGCCTCCATTGCGTGCTTGAGCCTGTCCTTCCTTGCCATCTCGAACTTCTGGGGAGAGAACTACGGTTCAAGCAGTCGGAGAGCATCAGAGACTGAGGGGCTGCTCCAGCAGGAAGAGGCCACCCCAGCTCCTCCAGCTACTTCTGCTCTCCGGACTATTCTACGTGGTACGTTGAAGCCTCGTTACCTGAGATTGCTTTATTAATTGACATTTAGATCGCAACATCATGATGCTTGCGTTGGTCTCAGGATTCTTCGAAGGATCTCTGTTCCTATTTATCTTCTTCAAGTTTCCGGCGCTGAAGCTCAGTCACAAGTTGGCGGGCTCAACAGATGGTGAGCAGCCTTCTATCCACTCTATGCAAGCACAACCAGGCTAACACCAACCAGAACTGCCATTTGGTCTCATCTTCGCCATCTTGATGTGTTCGATGATGTTTGGTTCGCTCCTTTACAAACATCTCTCCACATCTGCCTCACCTGTGCCAGCACAAAAGATGCTGACAGGCATCCTCGCAGTCTCATCCGCCTGCTTCTTTGTTCCTGGGCATTTCCGGGACGAGCGCGTCACGCTATGGTGCTTCTGCATATTTGAGCTGTGCTGCGGAGTTTACTACCCCGCAATGGGCTCTTTGAAGAGCAAGCTCGTCGAGGACGGCTCAAGGGCCAGCATTTACGGCATTCTTCGCATTCCGCTCAACGTTTTCGTTGTGCTTGCTTTGAGCACTACGAAAGAAGGTAAGCATCGCCGCTTTGTGTGGGACAAGAGGCCTAAAACTAACAATGAGTCCAGGCGAAGCGCATCGCGACACCGTATTTACCACGTGCAGCGTGCTCTTGGTGGCGGCTGCCATCGTCGTTCACAAGACCCTCACATGATCTCATTACAGTTTCCACTTTCCTTTTCTGTCCCCCTGCATGGCACTAAAACTAAACATAACCTCGGGAGTACGCATCCATCATCAGAAAGCCTCGCGCGAACCGGAGCAACATCCAAGATAGTCGCATCGCGAAATAGCGATTTACATGTATTATACCCACAAGTCCATTGATAGATACCATTGATCCTATGACATCATGCTTGCGACGCGTCTGGAGTGTGCGTCTTGAAACGCGTGCGCCGTGCCTCAGCTGCAGGAGCAGCAAGACAAAGACACGGACGAAACAACCGCCCATGTTGATCAATCGACCCACATCTGCCCCGCCGCCTCATCGTCCGCCGTGCGGCTAGTCATCCTCCCCGTCGTCCACTAGTCGCAGTGGTATCCTGACTGGTGCGAAGATAGCGGCGTGCGGCTTGAGCGGGGTTTCGTAACATCTAGCCCGTACGGGTCTTGGATGTTCTTGTTCGATCAATGCTAAATCTGTAACGGGGGTCTACCTGATGTTTGGTTGTGATAAGCGCTCGGCAGATGTACACGTAACACTGTTGGCCTTTCCGCTGTTCTTGTTTCGCGTATCCTTGGCATATCTAAAGGACCGATGTCCACCATGCCGCCAGACTAGGAGTCAAGTTGTCTGGGGCCTACTTGTCGTGTATCTTCAAACCCTTGGCTTCACTATTGTCTCCTCCTTCTTTCACTCTTCTTTCTCTCTTTGTGTACGCTTGACGCGATTGTTACCTCCACCGATTCAACTCGGAGGTCACACATCACGGTCGTTCCTTCGACTCAACTCTGCCCACCAATCCCACGTCACTCTTTTCCACCTGCAAAGATGTTCAGGTCTTTCGGTGGTAGGTTCAACTTCTTCGTTGTCCTTTGAACACGTGCTAACACAACGTACAGCCCGCATATTCGCTGGAATATTCGTCGTCGTTTTCCTAATCGTCATTTTTCATAATGAAGAATCCGCTGGCACGGCACTACTTCCTTACCTCCCCGTCCTCCCATCAACAGGGTCCTCGCAACCCTCCTCCATCCTGCAAGCATGGATAAAAGACCGATCAGCGCTCTCGGAAAAGTCGTGGAAGAAGAGCGTTGAGCTCCGAGACCAGATGGCCAAGTCGCATCCGGACAACCCGAAGATTCCATTCTTCCCAATGGACTTCCTCAAATACCCCTTCACAATCTGGGACTTCTTCCCACCAACATGGACATGCCCCCACGACATCCAGCGCGTCGGCAGACTCGGTGACGGAGGAAAATGGGTATGCGGAATGAACATCTACGAGAGTCTCCCCGCACCCAAGTCCGCTTCCGCTACCATCGGATCGCAAGAACCCCTCGTGGACGCGCAAGATGGCCTGGTCATGTACAGTTTCGGTATCAACGGCGAGTCCTCCTTCGAAGCTGAGATGCTCGAGCGCGTCCCCAGCGCCCGCATCTGGGGCTACGACTTCTCAGTCGACTCATGGGGCCCCCAAATCGCCGAGAAGCATCGCCACCGCACCTTCTTCAAGAAGGTCGGCCTAGGCAAAGAGGACAAGCATGAATCCGACCCGCCATTCTGGACCCTACCCGCCTTGATGAAGCAGAACAACCACACCTACATCGATATCCTGAAAATTGATATCGAAGGCAGCGAGTACGACGCGCTAGACACGATGATGAATGCTTTCGACAACATGAAGACCGCATCTGGAAAATCTGTCCTGCCCATCGGCCAGGTCATGATCGAACTGCATCTCGGCGACGGCATCAATCTCGATAACGCGGGCGGCGGTGGCAGCATAGACTTTGGCCGCTTCAGGTCATGGTGGGAAAGGCTCGAGCGCATGGGTATGCGACCCGTGTGGATGGAGATCAACCTATTTGCTGTTACCCTGGGTAAGAGCAAGGCGAACCCGAGATGTACGGAGTACGTCTGGGTCAATGCCAAAGATCAGCGAAGTGTTCTTTGGAATGTATAAATAGCATCTGCTTCGGCAGCAGGATGAGCGGCGTTTGGAGCTTGACTCCGGCATCATAGATATCACGTTCAGCCAATTCATCCTCATTATTTTCTTTGACGATACGTGTTCTTAATTGCGGCGTAGGTTGCTTGTGATGTGGTTGTACATTCCTTGAAAACGCCGAGCTGTCGAACTGCCGTGCCCGCGGGCGACGCTGATGTCAGATGGAGACTTGTCTGAATGCGATCTAGCGTTTGGCTCTCCCAGCCGCGCCGCTCTCCCAGTGCCACTTCAACATCTTTCCATTGCGAACAATCCCCAAGACAAACAAAGACACATGTCATTATGCGAACACGAGTCCGCTCCGCCCCATGCAAGACTCCCAAGCCCTAGCAAGCCTTGTCGCAAGCCTCCCACCAGCGCCTCACATCCTGCGCCCACCATGACCGGGCAGCTAACGTTTCGGCGCCGAACTCCGTGCGCGTTACAAGATCCAGCCTCGCAATCAACCCGAGATTCTAAGCATTTGACCCGAGTAATGCTATGCAACCGGTGTTGTTAATACTGTGGTTCTGCGGATCCGCTGACAATGTGGTTGAAAGCTACCCCTCTGCGGAAATTGGAAGATCGCAATCAAGAGAGGGGTGTTGATACCGTCGTGGGAACTAAGCCGCGATTAGACTTCCCCATGGGGCCGCATCTTGAGCCGTCGCCGCCTTGTCGAGATCAAGATCTAATAACCGAGGAGAGGCCGGAGGTAAGCCCTAGACATGGAGGTTGGGAAGTGTAGAACTCCTTGCGCATTTCACCACATAAGCTCCGCTGAGTTGATGGTCCATGGATCACATAGTGCTAACTGCGAGGTCTGGGCTCTCACGACTCGTCTGAAACCACGCCTATCCGCGCTTCGTGTGTCTGAAGCGGCGCCAAGCGCCGAGACATTGACAACCTACCGCTTCTAGAAGTCTGACTGCCCGGGGAGAAGAAGGAGGTTCGCATCGCTGAAGTGCAAAGATTGTGCTAAGACGGCGTTCCAAACGATCTTCAAACATGAGGATATACTTCAGTTCGAAGAGACAGTTATCGAGGCTTTCGCGAAGGCAACACCAGAGTACACCGCTTTTGTCGAAGCGGGCCGGGCCGAACGCCGTTGGGAAGGGAACAAGCGTGCTACAGAGACAATGCACAAAGAGGCCTATAACCTGAGGTGAACCAGGTGTGCCATCTTCCTCAAGTTTGAGTCACGAATGCAAAGGCCGCCCACAAGTACGCCGCGTCCCCATGAAGCGCAAGAGGAAGTGCAAGCACATATTGAGTGTATAGGTATATTGAGACCTCATCTCCATTCTCGGGATCATGACCCATACCTACTCACCACTACCTAGTCCACTCCCGAAAATCTTGTCTATCCTCGTAGCTCTTTCCCATACCACCTCTCCCTTTCCGTCTTCTCCGCCCTTCTTCTTGAAATACAATATGCGATGCTGGGGAATGAACTCCTCATCCGTCTGCTCAGTCTTCCATTTCTCAAGACCAGTCTCCTTCGCGCCCAAAAAGCGGTCTTCATATCCGATGATGTAATCGCTCGGATCAAGACTTGGGTCCCAGCGTAGACGGTTGAGCACATCGGATGCAGGACGTAGTTTTGTTCTCGACAAAGGTGTTGAAGTGGGCTTAGGGCGCTGAGGTATGGTACGCTGAGGCTTGGTCTCATCGGCGTCTTCAAGGTCTTCGTCGACATCTTCTTCTTCGTCCGAGTCGGAATCTATGTCCATCGCGTAGACACCCCATTCTCGATCGTCCAGTCGCAAGCCTTTGACATCGCTAGATCTTACTAGCGAAGCATCGATCCATGAAGTGCTTGCATCGAAGTTCTTCTCATCGGTTCGCAGCTGCGTCAAGAAACGATCCAGTACCTTTTCCAGAGCTTGCTTGGCGACTTGCTTGTCGTCCGCGCTATGTGTTGAGACGGCTTTCTCGGATTTCGAGATGCCGATCAGGTAACAGCCTTGGTACTCTTTGCCCTCTCCAACGTCGAACGAATTGCTGTCGACGAAGCGAGCTGGCCAGATGTGTACTTCCGACTTGGGTATGGCTTTGTAGATGTCTATCAGGGTCAGTAAACGATTGCGCAACAGGTGTTTGGAATATGCGGCTTACCTATGACGAGCGAGATGCAGCGAGACTCGACCCAACCGACTAGGCTCTTACCCTTCGCCAATGTACGGCCCCAAAACTGGATGTCAACCTTGACGAAGTTGTTGTGGTTGCGGAGGAACTCTGCAGCTCCATGAGGAAGTTGCGACCCTGATTCTGGAGCAGATGGCGCACCGAAGAACGTCTCCCACGTCATTCCTGGCTCGCAAAGCTGCTTTTCGGCGGTCTTGAATGCCTTAACGAGCAGCTGTAAGCCGGGAACCGTAGCCGTATGAGCGATATTCGAGTTGGGTGCGTGGTAACCCAACACCACCATCGGCTCTCTTGCGCTGCGATAATAACGTGGCATCTTCTTGTGGAAGATGGCATCGTAGACCATGTCGTTCGTCCAATCGAACTGAGCATAGTGATGGAAGAAACTCGCAATGATGTCTGCAGCCGTGACTGGGCCAGCATCATGCCCAAGACTTTTGCAAACCCATGAGAGCATGAGCGTGATGTGTACGCCTCCAAGGAATCCGAATTTCGCACTATACATGCCGCGCTGGACAGCCCATAGCTTGATGGAACGATAAGCTAGGCGGAATGCAGAAAGTGACGGCAGTGTACGTTGAATGTATAGCAAATCGCGGTAAGGCTTGAGCTTGCGGAGTGAGAGAATAGAAAGGTTGAAAATGGGATCGGATGTCGGGATGTTCCAGAATTCATGCCACCTAGTTGCTTAATGTCAGCGTTGCTATATCGCAATCGTTCCATGAGACTCACCTCTCGACGACCTGGGGCGCAGGACAATATTGCAGATCCATGAATATGCCGTTGACGGACAGTTCGAGCATGGTGCCGGTGCTGGCCTCAACCTTCCGCAAGATCCTGACACCTTTGACTTCTGCTTTGGCAAGTCGTTGTCGAGCGAGCCGGAAGAAGGTCTTAGAGCTAATGGTGCCGATACAAAGGCAGTCGACGTCCGAGTCTGCAGTCCATACACCCAAGGCGTACGAGCCAACTGGCACTATAACCAATGGTATATCAGATTGCGCTGGATCTCCATCGTCTGATGTACCCAGTAGTATGTGCTGGAGGCTTGCAAGTGCGTCGCGCCGATTGCTCGCTTGATCTTCGTTCGGGAACATGCCGTGGGTCTCGAGCACTGAAACGAGGCTCGTGGTCTCTGCCAAAGTTCCATCCACTCGCTTGTGTTCCACGGCAGGCCGATTTGAGAAGGCTGCTTCATTTCCGGTGCTCGCGACCGCTTCGTTCACTTTAATCTTCGCTCTCACTCCATAATGGTCACTGGCTGCGACCTGTGCACCGTCGATCATCTCCGGAACGCCGAAATGGTTGAAGCGGTCTATGCGAAGTGAATCCTGCGACCGAAATAGTATCCTATCGTAACGCTGTGGCCGATCGTGAGAAGTCGTAGTCGTTCCTGCGGCCAGTCGGTTGTTCTGGGGATCGAATGTCGCGCCCTCTTCGCCCTCGAACACATCTCCAGATGCAGTTGTACTCGCTTCGTCCACTCCTTCAACACGGGCAACAGACCAAGCATCAGATAACCCCGCTTCCCGAATCTCGGCCTCAACTGTTGCTAACAGGGAAACAGTCTCGCTGGATATGGACTGGTCTTTGACGGAGGTCTCAATGGTGTAAGTCGACGTGACCAGGTTGAAATCCCCTGCGATGACCCATGGCTCGCTTCCATAGTGCTGTTCTAGATGGCGTATCAAAGTCCCCATCTGAGCTTTCTTAGTAGCGACTGAGCCATCAGTAAGACCGGCAGTCAAATGAACTCCAGCGACAACTAAGCTCCCCAAGCCCTTAGTGCCAGATGCCGTGACGCCTCTCAATCGCGCAACGACAGCGCTCTTGTGCTTGCGATGGAAGGGTACTGAATGCCAGCTAAAAGGATAGCGGCTCAGAATGACGACGTTCCGTAGACTGGGGAGAGGACCTAGATCGTTTTGGCATGGCGGACCATGCGAAACAAATGGGTATATGTGTGCAATGTCCTGACGAGTGAAAAGTAGATAGTCAAGAAAGTCGTCGGAGACCTCTTGCAGTACTAATATGTCGGCCGTCGCTTGTTCTGATAGGACGGTGTCCACAATCAACGGGTCGCGGTCATGGTCCGGCGGATACTCAGTGTCTACCAGGACATTGTAACTCGCAACAGTGATTTCTTCTGATTCAACCTCGATCCTATTCTCGCATGTGTGCGGTGACCATCTGGATTCGTTGGGATCGAAGCAGAGGGCTGGCACGTCGCGCACCTCGAAATCCTCAAGTAAGGAATCATGCTGAGTTTCATCGACATCCGGTCGGGGTGCAGCCGGATTCGATTTGGGCGTCTTTACCCAGTAGTCTGGAATGTGAGGTCTCCAAACATCGCCTGGACCGCCAATATCGATAGTTCCATACAACCGCATGTAATCAGTTGACAGCGCGCCAGTCGTTTTTTCACGAATAAGGATAGCAAGCGTGCCGACGCGGAAGTGTATGTTTGGTAATCTTTGAGCCTTGCGTAGGAGGTATGACTGTGAGAGCAGAGGATTACCCTGTGTCTGACCGATAGTGAGGTGGGGAGTAAATCGAGAAGGACCTTGGCCTAGTGCTTGCAGTACAGTCGTACGCAGCGAAACGAAAGGCGAGTCTTCCTCACCACGGTCATCGGTACCAAGAAATACGGTGAAGTTGTTCTTTTGCACGAAACCACCGGCTTGAACCAGTTCTACATCGATGGGTGTCGCTTGGGTGGAATGCTGTGCCAGGTACCCTTGAATCTGCTCTTGTGCTTTGGGAAGCTGCTCTGGTGCAACGAAAGGGTATACGAGGTTGATGTGAGGTGGCCACTAAAAAGATTAGAC